TGATGTAGGAACATCTTAGCTAATAGTAAGCTTAAGGACTAGCCTACCCTTCCTTGTCTAGATAGTTCTATTTTGCACTATAAATAGTGGCTAATGTATGGTTTTTGAGGCATTGAATGATATAAACTATTTTGAAGCTTTGAGAAAGCTCTCTTCTTCTTCCCTGGATTGAGAAACTCCTTGAAATCCTTCTTGCAGGTCTGATCTTCCGACGATCCACTACATCAATAGCGAAGGCAGTTACCCACCCTCAAAATTATATAATTTTTTAAGTAATTTATTCCTCTTTATTTATATTTTAATCTTTATTACATGAATTTTTAGACATTCCCCCATCCTTAAAATTTTAATATTTCTTACATGATATTATAATGTCTAATATTGGTGGTTAGATATCAATTTATTGTAGATTATGACTTTGTTTGGAATAGCTTTCCTACTGTTTCTTAAAATATTTTTTTAATACAAAATTTTTAATTTTTTACTAGAAAATTGATTTAAAAATCAATAAAAAAGCCATCTTAAACAAGCCCTATATTTCAAATTTTATTAATGCTTTTGGCACAAATATTTTCTATTTATTCACCTTTGTATATGAGAACAAATATGTTAGATATATATAAATTCAATGTCATTTTTTTTTGAAATTTTAACTTTGACACCATTTAAATGGATGTATATGATATCATGATATTTTTGAAATCTGAATGACATTTTAATTCAAAAATTGTAATTTTGTATGTTCTTTTTATTTATGTTTTGTTCCGTTTGTAGAATGAAACCCATACATGTTCTTAAATATACATTATATTTAATGCTAAATCTTATGCTTCTTAATTGATCATTACAATTTAATTTTTTTTAAAAAATTTGATTTAGAAACATTGCCATCCCTATTGATCCAACTCAAAACTGACCAAACATTAGTTGACCCAACCCAAACTTGACCCATTTTTTGCATATGGGTAAGCTTTTTCAACCCGAACTCTTGCTAGTCCCGACCCGTCAGTGGGCTGACCGGTCAGCGAGTCAATGACGAACTGGGTGAGGCGAGTCGGCAGCAATGGTGGGCACTTGACGAGACAGCGGGCTCGTTGGACAGGACGATCGACCAGTCGATGACTCGAAGCGACGTGGGCAGACACACTCGTCTCGTTGGCAGCAGACTCGATCAGCGCGGACACGATGGCGGGTAGACTGGTTAGCGAGTTTTTCTGAGTTAACTAGGATTGAGTTCGAGTTTACGTGTCAATCTCAACCCGACCCATTTGCGAAACGGGTTGATTCAAACCTGAAATTTTAGGTCGATTTTGAGTCAAATTTTTCGGGCCGTGTCTAATATTACACCCTATATATCATGTTCATTTTATTGCTACAAATCACAAGCACCTTGCAAGAAAATGTTGAAATTTTATCATTTATATTTTCAATGCTACTTTTTAAAGAAATATTATTAAAATATATAATATTTCATCAATGGTGTTATAGACACTACAAATTATATGACACCTTCACTTTTTCTAATAAACAATGATGTTATTATTTTTAAATAATTAGAAATCATCTTATATTTACATAATGCTAAATTACTATATTTATAATAAAATTTTGAGGCATTCTTTGCAATATGATTTGATTGTACTTCGAATGTACTTCGAAAAATAATACACCGTCATACTCGTGAAATTAGGGCAGGTAGTGCAGCAACGCCGCCCTTTCTCTCGACCCAAGCTCGCTCACATGGCCTTCTCCTCCACCGTCTTCCTCTCCCTCAATTACTACCTTCCTCAAATCCTTTCACCTTTCTCTCAAATATACAAACCCCGATACCGACCCTTCCGCATCCGCTGCTCTGAACCCATCGCAACTTCGCCTCATATGTCTTCGTCCTTCGACCTCCGATCCTACTGGACCTCCATGATCTCTCACATCGAAGCCGATCTCGACGCCGCCATTCCGATCGCTTATCCTGAAAAAATCTACGAATCCATGCGGTACTCCGTCCTCGCCAACGGCGCCAAGCGCGCTTCCCCTATCATGTGCATAGCCACCTGCGAACTCGTCGGCGGCGATCGATCCATCGCTCTCCCCACAGCATCCGCTCTCGAGATGGTCCACACTGCTTCTCTTATACACGACGATCTCCCTTGCATGGACGCTGCCCCGCTTCGTCGCGGCCGTCCTTCTAACCACGCGCTCTTTGGCGTCGATCTCGCTGTCCTTACCGGAGACGCCCTTTTCCCCCTCGCATTCCGTCACGTCGTCGGCCACACCTCTCCTTCCCTCGTCCCGCCGCAGACGATTCTCCGCGTCATCGGGGAGATTGCCCGTACCGTCGGATCGACCGGGATGGCTGCAGGTCAGATGTTCGATCTATTGCCGGCGTACGGCGGGGAGCAGGAAGATGCGATGATTGTACTTGAAAAGAAGTTTGGCGAGATGGCAGAGTGCTCGGCTGTGTGCGGTGGGTATCTGGGCGGCGCAGGGGAGGAGGAAGTGGAGAGATTGAGGAGGTACGGGAGGGCGGTGGGGGTCTTGTATGAAGTTGTCGATGACATTTTGATGGAGGAGGAGAAGGGGGTGGTTGGCAATGGGCGATCTGGGAAGATGAGGAGCAATGCGAGCCTGGTTAGGACGCTGGGAATGGAGAGGGCCATGGAGATCGTCGAGGAGCTCAGGGAGAAAGCCAAGAAGGAGCTGAAGGGTTTCGGGGATAAGTATGGGGATAGAGTTCTGCCGCTTTACAGCTTTGTTGATTATGCTGTGGAGAGGGGTTTTACGATTGAGAGCCAGGGAAAAGCGACGGCCGCCGCCGGCGACAGTGCACGCTCTTCTTCCTAACTGACCCTGCAGATTAGGCAACTCTCCCTTGTTTGTTGGTTGGGAGCGACTTTCTTTAATATGCTGGGTAAGAGCTCTTCTTAATAATTAAGAGGTCTTGATATTTAGTATATGATGTGCGAATGAATGGACCTTAAATAATCTAAATCTGCAAATAAAAAATAAAAAAAAAACTTTGCAGATTCATCGTATAGAATTGGAGCACAATGTTTCAGCTTTTAATTTTTTTGATGGTAAATATTCTTTTAATAATTAATTATCTAATTAATATTTAACTTACTAATTATCTAATTAAATTTTTATATTTAAATTATATCAATTAAGCTAATTAAATTAATACTTAATAAAAAAATAAGAAATAATTTAATATTCATATGCAGGCTGGCTTTCCTATTCGATTTCTTCATTGTCGTTCGCCTGAGATAGAACTTTCCTCTTCGACTACGTTGATTCATGTTAGTGTTATAAGTGAATCAAGTCGGCTCGAGCTCGGCACGTTAATGATGTCACAAGCCGAGTTTGAGCAAAATTTCGAGCTCATTGGATTATCGAGCTTGAGTTCAATCTGGATGATGCTTGACTCAGTTATTCATTGAGCTCCTCAATTAAACACGGAGGGCGGAAGGCGAAGCGCTGGCAAACTGTTGAAGGTTTCTTTGCTTGCGAAACATGGAAGCAAAATAAATTTATTTTATTGTTAATTATATTAGTGTTCTCCCGATGACAATAATAATCAATTTTGAATTTTTGAATTGTTGCGGGCTAGAATATACGCGGCGATAGAGTTATAATTCTACGTCTTAGCGTTGCACGGATATCCAGCTCACACACAGAAAACACAATATTTTTTACGTGGAAAACCCGGAGGTTTGACCATCTTTATATTTACCAAATATTTAAAAAATTGGATTAAATTGAGATCGCATAGTCAAAACATTATAATTTATCATGACAGACAATTTTATTAAAAGTTCAGGAAAGAAATTATGATTTTGACCACATGAATGGAGTAATTTGACGAGCAAAGCAACGGAGTACACAATTATGTACTCGCTATAACTCATTTATTTGAAGCACAATAAATTAGTAATAGTTGGCAGTCATGTACTCAACAAAATATGAAGTACACACAAAGCAATTTCACCTAGCATTGGTGGGCACTCGGGCTAGCTCATATGAGCGTCCATTGGCGAGCTTACGACCCATCGGGTTAGCAGGTTCGTATACAGGTAGGAAGGCAGGCTTGTCATATCCACACAGGTTGGCATAAGTCACCCTGCACAAGCCTTCTATCAGCATTATTGAATTACAGAGCTTTTGAGATAAAAAAGCAATCTTGCATAAAGAATCAGTGGCCCTCACAAAAAACTGGAATAAAACCACTTGATGAGTTGTCCTTGTGCTGCTATTCAGAATGTTCTAGAACCTATATGAAGGTTAATATGAAAAAAAAATTAGATATATCCAGCTCCCATGAAAACAGATTCATAAATTATCTTTTAGATTGCCGCACCTCCCTTGCAATACAGTTAAGCGTATCCAAAATTTCTGAGAAGTCAGGCCTCAAAGCTGGGTCTTTCTGCCAGCATTTCTCAAGCAATGCAGCAAGCTTGGGATTTGTATTCTTGGGAATGATTGGTCTTAATCCCTGAAGATGTAGGAAAGAATGATAAATTTATTAAAATGAAGAAAAACTGATTAATTCAACTTTTATGGAAAGAGAATATGGAAGTTACCGCTCTTAATACGCCTACGGCTGCTTGTAATGGTGACAGGAACTCATATGGAAGCTGTAGAAAGGTAATTAATTAGATTGTTAAGAAAAGATAGGGGTGTCAATCTCGGGTCACGGGTCGGATTCGGGTCGAACCTAGAACAGACCCGACACTATTTGGCTCAACCCGAACCTGACCAGTTTTTGCAAACGGGTCAGTTTTTCGGACTCGAACCCGACCCGCTTTGGGTCCAGGTCAAACTGACATCCGAATGACCCGAGACCAACAAAAGAAATGCTGGTTTTCGGGTCAAAAAACGGGTCAGTATCCAATTTTCGGGTCAAAACGGGTCAATCTCATGTTATCGAGTCAAAAAAAGGTTTTTGGATCAATTTTGAGTTGCTGGGTCAACCCGAACCTGATCTGCTTTTTGAAACGGGTCTATTTGCTGAACCCGAACCCGAACCCGAACCCAACCCGTTTTGGGTTCGGGTTGATCCTAACATGAAATTTTCGGGTCAAATTCGAGTCGACTTTTTGGGTCGTGTCAAATATTGACACCCCTAAGAAAAGAGAAACATAAACCCAAATTATACGGATAAGCAAATTAAAATAAGATGTTACAGAGGTAGAGTTACCTTCCCGGTGAGCAACTCCCACATCAAGATACCAAAACTATATACATCAGCCTTGTGATCGTAAGGTCTGTGTTCAATGACCTGCAGTTAAGAACAAAATCGATTAGATAATGACAGATCAGGAAAAGATAGTATACCAAATTCACAAATAAGAATGTCATCATCACGGCGAAATTATAAATTTAGCAGTCTTGGTTGCAATAAGGCTATTATTAACTTGCTCTGGTATAGTTTTTTCAATGGTTATTTTATAAAAACGCTTACACTCGAATGACGTTACAGGTTGGGTTTCAATATCAGTTTGGTTCGGTTTGTAATAAATTTCACATTTTGCATAACCTGGTTAGTCCATTTGTTTTAGTTTGGGATTTATGAGATTCTATAACTCATACTGATTTAGGAATAAAAGGCTTAACACCTTAGGCAACATTTGGCAAAAAATGAATGAAAAGGATAATTCATAAAGCCAACCCCAATTAGTTAGGATAAGAACACTGTCAATATAATCATCAGTGAGTCAAGAACTGTACATTGCATTAGACCAAGTCAATACAACAACAATAACAACATCAAGCCTTTATCACTCTACTTAGGTTCGACTACATGAATCAATTTTCTCCATTATATCATGTTAAGAGTCAAATTTTCATTTAAATCTAATAAATAAACATCATTTTTAATATTTTCTAACCAAATCTTTTTAGGTCTATTCAACCTCTCTTAACAAAGGCAAAATCTAATACACCTATTCTCCCAAGTCATAGATGAGAAAAATGGGGGGTCATGTTAGGTGGGCTTTGATTGGGACGGTTTTTTTATTGCTGCATAAAACGGAGTTTCCGTTTTATGAAACAATAAAAAAGTTGTTCCAAACGAAGCTATAGTCAACAACCAATGTAAAATTTGTCAAATAACCATGATATTAGACTAAGTCAGTACATAACACAAATTCACAAGCTCCATGTTAATACAACAAGCATACCTCTGGAGCCATCCAACGGTATGTTCCTGTTTCTGCAGTCATAATCCCGGATTGAGTTTTAAAACGCGCAACTCCAAAATCAGCAATCTTAACCTGTCATAAAACTGATGCACCAGTTAGTGAAGAACGAAAAATGCAATGACCATTATTTTTAGCAATTTAAGAGAATACATCTTGAGCGAACGAAGAAAAAGAATTATAAGGTGATAAATTTCACCTACAAGGATTACTATAAGAGACAAAAACAATGAGAGCGTATAAAAAAAAGCTGTAGAAACAAGCTCAAAAAGTTCATTAGAAACCACGAGTATTTGTGTCAGAGAGTAATGTTTCGTTTGAATCCTTCAAAACAAAGAAGAATGACTAAAATTAATAGAATTGGAATATGGTCAAAATCAACGAGCTAACTTTCTTATAACTAGAATCATAGAATGTAATACTCATTAAAAAATAGGAGACAAAGCACTTCAAAGCTTGATGATAGTTATTCATTCAGTTCATCAATATAATTAAGTAGCTCACAATAACAAATCAAACAGTAGCATAAAACAACCACCTCATTTTCATCCATTAAAAGATTGGCAGTCTTCAGGTCCCTGTGTATGATATTATTTTGGTGCAAATAATTCATACCATTAGAAACATCAATTGCTACTCTGAGTAGAGAAGAAAACCTAAAGACACCTTTCTGCTTGTGTAGATAGTCATAAACGCTTCCTCCAGGCATAAATTCTGAAGAGGGAAGACAAAAAAATTTATACTACCAACCATAGCCGGATCATCTAAAAAAATTAAATTATTTCAAGGATTCTTAGCTCATTAAAATAAACAGCCATAATTACTACATACTTCAACAAGCATATACCTGTTACAATAAACAAGCTAGGAGGTTTTGTGCACGCACCGATAAACTGAACAACATTTTTGTGACGAACCTTTCTGCATGAAAAAGGAGTTTAGGTTCAATATCATAGATTTTTTATTAAAAAACAAATGTTTTGAGGTGGTGGATAACAAATGCTTAGTTCTAGTTGAGAAGATCTATAATGAAGTTCCAAGTCAGAAGCCATAATATTTTTAAAGTTTCAAATAGCATAAGCAGAACAAAAAACAAGTTATGAAGGTTCAAATCAAATCAATTGAGAAAAGTACAAATTCTTACCAGCGATTATACAAGAAAGTGAGAAACCATTGAAAACTAGCTTAGGTAAGTAATTTGTAATATTAGCAATGATTCAAACTTCCCTAGAAGCCAGATAATTTTAATGTCAGTTACAGGGTAAGAAATTAGCTTACAACTAAATTATGACCACGATTGCGACAGAGAAGCTCAGAGAATCATTGAGATCATAAAAACCAATATCTCCATCATCATGACTAGTTATATACCCAACTATTTGAGGTTGGTATTGTGATTCCTCATTACTTTAACATCAATTTTATCATCATTATACTTATTGCAACTATTTAAGAACACTCCTTCATTCATTATTATTGAGTGATACATGAGGCACTAATCCTATCAACGCAACAATTTCTGAGATTTTAGCTATTTTATATTTAGTATACCGTTCTTTCCTTCTTAATTATTTCACATTAATTCCATCTTACCCTATGTTACACCGATACGGATACGGCGACACGCATACGACACGATACGGATACGGGACACGTCAATTCTTAAAAATACAGGATACGTATACAACGCGGACACGGCATTATAATTTATAAATCATACATAAAAATTAAGAAAGCAATCAAAGCATAATATTTAAAATTACAAAAAATAATGACAACAACATGATTTGTAGCCTTGTAGCTTATAATATCAAAATATAAGTAAGCATTAAATGTCTAGTACAACAACAAAAGCATAAACATAAATTATCTAGCACATGAAGTTTCAACTATTCAATAGAAGGAATGATATAATTATCTTCTTCATTGGTTTGTCTTTGAACTTCTATATCATCTTCAATAAATATCATAGCTTCTAATTCAGGCTCATCAAGTGAAAGATTAGTAATTTTTAATATTTTCATATCATCAAGAGACACAAATCCATCTCGGAAATGAGAGAATCTTGCTCGCAACCGCAGAAGTAAATACGATACGTCTTTTTTTTTTCTTTTTTTTTTTCAACAGACACGCGTATCCGTGAAATTAAATAGTATTTTAATTGGATACGGCTTTGGCGTATCCGACACGTATCGGTGGAGTATCGGAGGCGTATCCGTGTATCGGAGTATTGGATACAGCACGCCTTCATAAATAGGTGTATCGGTGCAACATAGATCTTACCCCACTAATTGGCGCATCTTCTATCCTTTATTGTCCATATCCAAACCACCAAGATATACTTATATACTATCATATCTAAAGTAGGTTCTACTACTATTATCTCTTTGAAATAATCAAATCTAATTATATAATTCGGAGCATTAGTCCATCGATATACCGTGTATTTACTTTGCTAATTTCAATCATTCTAACCTTCTACAATCAATTTACATGGAAACAGAATGCAACTCATGGAGTATATTTCAGTATATCACATAACCAACCAAAAAATAAAAAATAGTGTTGAACTGAAACATAAAAAATGAGGAATCTTATTTTCTTAATGGGTAATTTGCGTCTGAGGAAAATAATAATAATAAATAAATAAATACCTCATTCATTACCATCTTTTTTATAAGATAGTTCAAAAAAGTACTAAACTCTACTGTTTATTTCATTTCCTCCCCTAGCATCAGCATACACATTTTGGACTGAATATAAAGTTACATATATTAGGCATAGAAGTGCAAAGGAAAAAAAATAAATATTTCATTGGCTTTAAATAAGAGGAAGAAATGGTGTTTCAACTGCAAAGTAATTTAAAGATTTTTGGTGAACCGTTGGCAGGTAACAAGAGAGTAAGTAATAGAAAAAGCTTTCTTTTCATGCTTCTTACAACTCCGTTCACTAGGAAAAACTGCAAAACTATAACTTATGGCAGTTTAACGCACAACACTTCGACCCCCGTTTATTTAAGACAATATATTATTTTCAAATTCCAAAGCTAATCTAAATTATTAAATTCATTCATCCTCTCTCACCTGTGCTTTCCCATCTTTCATCTCTCTTTCCTGCCATAATCCTCTACACTATTAGTTTGGATGGCTTCCTTCATCTCCAGCATCCAACAACAAAGCCTATATAAATCTTAACTATATCAAATAATTCAACACGTCAATTTTAGGTCGTGCCAAATCTGTCATCATTGCTCCATAAAGAGCAAGCAAGAAGCCATTCCTCCTAGATGTTTTCAGCCGGCCATACTTTAAGTAAAATTTAATTTAATTTTCCACTAGTGGTTAGTTTAATTGAAGGAAAATGACAAATTTAAATGATTCTAGTGATAATATGTATTTATCATAATTTTGATTCCAACATATTTGTCATTGGCTTCCTTTGAAACAAATTCTAGAACATATGTTCAAATGTTTTATTTTTTTAATTATAAAAATTTTTTGGTGATGATTTCCATGATAGTTTGATACCTCTCATATGAACTAGATTGTAAATAGCTTTGGAGGATTTTTCCATTTTATTTAATAAAATTCTACAATAAATAAGTATAACCTTTATTATATTATGAGAAAAAGTATTTACTGGATTTATTACTTGGATGAATAAAGGCCTTGTTTATTTAAAGTTTCTGAAAATAAAGCAATGTTTGACATGCAATTATCGCCTAAACAAAGCACTCATTAACAAATAACAAGATGCAAAATTCCTTTGAAAAGCATGAGTTGTGGTTAAGTTTGGATGATCATACCATAAATCTAAGCTAACGACCAAAGATTTTGGATTGCAATCCAAATAAGCATTTACACAACATGAAAAGTGTGAAACTCCATTAAAATTAAAAAAGAAGAAGAATGAGTTGACTAGTGTCTGTTCATGTGAGCTGACATTAGTCGATTTGGCCTATTTGAATTGCAAGAGATGGTTGACGAAGGGAGTATAAGAAATATCATAAGAGGGGGGGGTGTGAATTCAGAGGGAAAGAGGGAGAGATCGCGTGTGACGAGAAGAGGAATTATGAGAGTGAGATAAAGAGGAAGATGGTGTGAGCACAAATTAACATAAATCAAGAAATCAAGGGCAAGCAAGCTAGGTCATCAATTTCTTTCTTCTTCCACCTTTTTCGGATTTGAAGAAAGTAAACCTAAATATCTGAGAGAAATTCATTAGGTTTCTTAAAATCATAAAAAATAATAATTATTTAAAAATTCATGCAAACCCAAAAATCTATAAAAAATTATAAGTTTTATCTAAGTTATGATTAAAATAGAAAAAAAGCTATTTGGTGAACAATTGTAGGTCTTTTCCCGTTGATGCATGTTAACCTATGTGAGTTTTTTTATTGTTGGGAGTATATGTCTAAGGAAAGAAAATGCAATTTATATAATGAAAACAATTTGTGGGTGTAAACTTGGGATTTCAAATGGCTTAACTCATATAGTGCTTTAATAAGCATGTTTAAAATATACGAAATTGGAATATAAGAAATGAAGCTTTATTAATTATATTATAGATATTTAAATGATTTTTTTAAATAATACTATTTATAAGATAATCAATATTACTTGAATCATGTCGAGATACTAGTTTCTTTATGTAAAGAAGAATTTGATATTGTTTAAGAAGAAAAGGGTCCAAGAGTTGTAAAATATGGTTCACACATAAGCATAAAGTAAATAGAAATTAAGATAGTGAATTTATGAAGGTATGTTAAAATATGTTTAGAAATAAATAATTCTAGTGATTTTATTGTATATGTTTTATATATGAATTTGGGATTGATTTACAAAAACAAATAGAGTAGTCGAGGGCAAGGCTGAGAAATTGGCATATCTCAAGATGATCACCCATGTTTCTAAATTATGATAATAATGTAGCTTCTTCAAAATCAAATGCATTAATTGTTATTGATATTTAGTAATAAATGATTACTACAAACTTAGTTTTGATTTAAATACAATTATCAAAAAGAATGATTATTTCTATTAATATTGAATTATTATCACATATCATTTAATATTATGATAAAAGATATGACATGATATGGAAAATACTAAAGCAATAACTCATATGAGAATGATTGAATGTGAAAGTTTGATTGATGGAGTTCTCCATCTTATGGTATTGGCTTAAGATGCAAGATACCCGCACGTGTAAATTGCAAAAAAGTATTGGAAAATAAAATAAAAAAGAAGTATCTTAAATGATAAAAAATTAGATGGCTCATACGACGGTTGCATTATTACCAATAGATAAAATGAGTTTCAATATAATTTTTCCCGATGTTAGTAACAATGAATGTTTCAAAGTTTCCTACAATGCCATCTTTAAATGGAATTATTCATCAAACAATTTTATATTGTTTCATGTTTTAAGACAAGTATGCAAATTATTTCAATATTTATTTACATTATCATAATTTGAAAATATGATGCAATCATTGAGTTGTCTTATAGCTCACTCCCATCATTTAAAAAATGTATCAATGTTAAATCTTGAGAAACTAAATATGTGGAAGAAGAAAAAGTTTTTATTATAGACGTGACACTATAACATGGAGTTATTTAATTCCAATGGTTATATTTCTGACTTGAAATGAATATAGTCGTTTTAGATGTTCTTTCAATATATTGGAATTAGTTAGTAGTTAATGTTAGTAAATATGATTTCAAAATTTTGTCTGACTATTTGTTCCCGCCTCAATATTTCAAGCCTCCAGGCAAGTGATGAGGCGAGTTATGACAAGAAGCATACTTGCAAAAAGAACCTCTACACCTCACTAAAATAAAATTTCACAAACATAAATAATTAATTAAATTTAGTAAATCATAATTTTATAAATATAAGATTAGTTGCATCTTGGAATGTAGGGTCGGTACAAAAAGTGACAGAGTGGGATGCAGTGTTACTGCTAAAAGATAAGATTTTAAAAGCAAATTAGAGGTCCAAAGAGTGCTAGGAACCAAGCATAGAAGAATTGGGGAAAACAAAGTGAGATATTACTGTAAATATGCCAAAGCAATTAGATAAAGTTCAAAGCTTATATAATAGAAGTCAACAAATTGCTTTTTCTCTTCTTTCAATTTTTGTTTATACCAAGGGATGGTTTTTGTGATCAAATGATAAGTCCAAAAGTTCTACCAATCAAGAAAAAGTTAAAAAAAATTCTGGTACTTGTAACTTTTTGCTATCGCATTAATCATTCCAAATATGAGAATTGATTGAGCTTAATAATAATATATTTGTATGCTCATTGAAATTTTTATGCCATGATTAATTAAGATGTAGCCTACACCATCATATCTGAGTTCTAGAACAAAGTTGCCACTGAAATCCATATAATGATGCTTTTTGTTTTTACAATTTACTTTTAGCTACAGTAATTTTAACATAGACTTAACCCTTGGCACCCCTACTGGTTATGGCAATGTTGTTCTAAATAGAGTTTTGCTTCTGCACCAATAGGAGAGGCACATTATATTTCAGCATAAATATGATTTAAAGAGCATTTTGTTTGATCAATAAAACATTTGATCCTTTGACTTCCTACAGGATGAGGATATATATAAAGATAGTGTAAAAAAGAATTAATAGAGAAATAAGAGTGAAGAAAAAAGGAATACTCTATGTTTTTATTTGGCCAAAACTTGGCAAAATAACTAAAGGCTTGCAATCGGTAAAACAAGGAAGAAACCATGCATATCCTAATAAAAAAGTAAATACATATAATATAGCTATTATTTCTTTTAAACATGTTAAATTTATTTGACAGAATCAATAGACAAACCATAATTGTTGTGTACCAAATCAACCAATAAAATGCAGTTCCCTAGGCCTTCGATTCTTGCCTAGTTATTAATCAATGGCTGCGGTCCATGGATCCAGTCATCAACCCTTTTGTCAGGACGCTAACAGTTTAATCGGATGGAGGAATATAAAACAAATTAATCTCCATTTTGATTTTTTTTTGGAAATTTGTTGATCTACCTCCACATATTTGGTTTGATCATCATGGGCAATGTTGTGAGCTATATTGATAGCAACTTGAGTTATTATATACCATCATAAGAGTCCTCACTGTTACTTGAAGTCTTCTTCGAGTAGCCTAAGCCAAATTAATTCACTAATCCAACTAGCCAATGAGTTGCCTGCACCAATCCTTACCGCAGCATTTTATTTTTTACTCTTTAGGTCATCACATAGAGCGGCGGCCTTCTGATGATCCGGTTAGGAAAGTAAAGTTATTAGATTTGACTTATGTTAAGAAAGGTAGAGGTAGACCTAAAAAGGCTTGGCTAGAGAATATTAGAAATGATCTTTCCTTATTAGATTTAAACGAGAATTTGACTTTTGACATGACACAATGGAGAAAAAAGATTCATGTAGCTGACCCCACATAGTGGGACAAGGGCTTGATGTTGTTGTTGTTGTAGGTCATAACATGAGTTTCAATAACCCTAATGTGGCTGCATCTATGAAGAATTTTAAAAAAATGGTGGTACTAGTGTGTTGAAGAATTTTAAAGGAAATATTAAAATTTTCTTTCCCTTTTATCTCCCCTTGGAGGAAATTCTTATGGAAGAAGGTTTCATTCTCAAAGAATGTAACATCCATGGATACAAAGATGTTTCCTTTTTCAGAGAAATAATATTGATTCCTCTTTTGGTTTGCCTCACACTCAAGAAAGATATATTTGAAGGCTTTTTATCAAATTTATTCCTATTAGGTTCATGACCGTGGGCAAAAGCATTGCAACCAAATACCTTAAGAGGAAAATTTGAAATAGTATCCGTGTTTAGAAAGCATGTGAAAAACACATTGACTGGAGTTTTGAACTATGTACATTAATTGAAAACCAATTTATGAGGTAGTGCATAGTGAGGATGGAATCACCCCAATAGTATCTAATAGTATTAATGGTGAACATGATAGATTTAGCCACCTCTATGATGTCTATTTTATTGAAGTGTATTGGAATATGAACTTTGATGATTAATACCATTTTTTATTTAAGTAAATTCTTACAATGAGGGTTAAAGTATTGCGTACCTCTATCAGAATGAAGGATTTAAATTTCAAAAAAGCAATGGATTTTAATCACATTGAGAAATTTTTTAAAGTTTTGTTCAGACATAACTACAAATGAGAAATTAACGTTTCTTACTTAGGAATAGCAGCTGTATTCAACAGAAACTCAGAAAGGTCTATGTATTATCATAAATATATGTAAGATTGCATAACTGGGTGCTAACAGTGTGGAAAAATTACTTCATGAAATTGAGTTGAAGAGGGTTAGCATGTAACTGGGATATTTAAGGTTGGAGAATGGTATACTCCACAAAAAATATGCATATTTAAACAGGTGTTCTATCAGCTCCTAATAAAGAGGCCTTTCCATTGGTAAATTAATACCCAATTTATTGTACTTTACAATTGATTCCTCTTCCTATGTATGCCCCATATTTCAACAATAAAAATGAATTTCACTTCGAAATATGTTATTTTATCAGAACATAAGCCACTTCATCTGAAAAAAGTTATTCCATTGCAATACGTTACTCATAAATTCTTGGTTAAATGCCTTAGTTTTGGATCAAAAACCTTAAATTCGGATGAAATACTTAATCTCCGAACATATAAAGATGATAAGGCAAGCACATAAGTAGATGTTAAGGCACCATTTCACTTGTAGATCTATATGAGGCGTGCAGCATTATTCTACAAGAATTTTCCCCCATAAAGTATGGGTTTGTAGGTGGACAGTGCAGGATTGGGATGGTTCTGAAAACAAAAGAATCAAGGGAACTTTAATCAGCTCTTCTGAAATAGAACTTGTTTGACAACTACATGAATAAACGTAATGCCAGATCTAATAACAATATTTGGAAGGGTTAAGCCAAAAAAAAAAACAAAAAAGGCATACATGTGATCCTCTTATATGATTCAAACATTCAACTAGCTAATTATATATGGGAAGAAGAGTGACTTTCCATATGCTACCCACAACTAGAAGAAGTTTCACCATCGTTTAATAGGTACACAAACTAAGAAAAATATGCATCATACATCCACAAAAGAATGTCTAAAGAGCTCAAATATAGACTTCCTGTGCAAAATCACGTTATTTGACCAACCTCATAATATGAACTTCCTGCGCAAAATCACGCGGCATATCCACGCTAACATGCTCCGACTTAAAGACTTTAATAGCTACATCCTGACTACAATATGTGCCACGGTATCTGAAGCAAAAAAAGGCATTGGAAAATCCACAATAAAAATAATATAAACTATTAGAAGTAGGAAGAAAATTTTAATTTATCAATTAACAGAACTTACAGATCGCCAAAAGACCCAGATTCAATTTTGCTCTGAAATTCCAATAAACCAGCATCTATCTCCCAGACATCAGCCCCATTGGTAGGAATTTTGATGTGGTTTGATAAAGCTTCCTTCTTAAATTGCACGTCTTCCAATATGAGTGGCCCTTCTTCAGGTGGTAGGTGTGTTTTCTGCAATTGGTAGAAAGCATTTCATGAACTTTCTCAAGTCTATTTATCAGAACATGCAATTTAAGAATCATGTAGCAAGAAAAAATGACAAGGAACAAAGTTATTTAAAAAAAAAACTACATATAATCACATAAAGATAATAAGGGAAATATCACTTGAATACAAATTAGCTGCCATGGAAACGAAATAACTACATATTTCAACAAAAGAGAAAACGGCCTAATTATCCTTCAAATATTGACTGAAAAACTGTAAAATTAATCAACCAATTTATACCATACATAGCACATGGCCTAAAAAAAATACCTGAGAAGCTAACCCCTTTAATTGTTGACAAAATAACATTATATCTAAGTTGATTGAAATTTATCATGTTTGGTGCTCCCAAACTACAAACTAGATAAATTCTTCCAGTTCCCCCACACGCCACCCCTTGTTCTTATGGTTTCATTTTAGCCTCTAAACAAATGCATATAAAGTTGACTTGTATATCCTTTTCAAATCATTTATCAAGGAGATCTCTCACCTTCCAATGGTTATTAAAAGATATCCTACAATCTAATTAAGATGTGGATAGATTTATGAATTTAGCTCCAAGATCATAGATTGCTCAAAAAACAAAGCGGTATTTTGCTCAAATCGAAGTCAAAGAGCCGACTAATGAGCCAATGCAAGCATAGATCGAACTTGAATTGAGCCGATCCTAGATCAGATCTAAATAGCAATAGATTGGATTGAAATGAATGCGCATGCATGGAATACATATTCACATAAATGTGTTAATGTACATGTATTTGCTTAATGTATGTACGTGTCAAAGAGGAGGACGAAGCGTCGGATTGTCAAACTTGTGTCAGAAAAACCCTCTAATGCATGAAAATGCATTCATATTGGAGCCTTTCTTCACCTACATCGAATCTTATGCTATTTGTAGCCATTAAGTCCCAAATCGAATGGCTACACATTGATTTCAATTCTCATCAAGATCTAGGTCATGAAAAAATTGATCTAATATATAGAAACATTTTATCTACTAGGATATATAATTATTCCCAAGTTTTGGAAAAAAATAAATAAATAATTTAGAAAATACATAAATCATTGTGGAATCTTTTATAGGCTCTCAAAGGCCTGTGTTGTAATCCCCACAACAGGTAAAATTAACCAAATTCATTTTTGACATTTTGCAGGGCTTGGAGCATTAAAATAGAAATAATTAATTGCTCTAATTTCTAAGAATTCCTAAAAATCCAAATTTATTACATTTTCTTCATAAGTCCTTAGATTATGACAAAATTAATCATAAGACTCTCCCAAAGCCATAAGAATGATCCCTATAATTCAAATGAATCCAAACATTTTAATGAAAAATATGAGCATTCTTAGGAGTCCTCTTTCTCTTCATGTATTGTGCCTTGAAGCTTCCCTAAACTTCAGGTACTTCACTACATAATCCTTAGGATCATTCTTAGCTAATTCACCCTTAGCCAAATCCTAGGATTGTTCTGATTTACGTTGAACCAAATTCAACTTGAATCATTCTATCCACCCTCCCTTCTTTGCATGGTGCACTTTTGGATTCATACAGAGATTTTCAAATAACCTCTAAAGAGTTAAAAGGAGCTCAAATGATCCTTCTGACCAAATCTTAGATTTCTTAATCTATTTTTTGAGCCAAAAAAAAAAAACATTTACCCATGAGGCAGGATCTTAATTTTATCCTTTGCACATTTGCTTAACCAAAACTAAAGCTCAAGAAAAATGGCATGTAAGCATGAATACTGCTTAGCAGACTTAGGATTCTATTCTCCTTAAGACAGATTGTAATTAACTAGATTTGCCTTGAGTATAGTATCAGGGTTTAATTAAATCTAAGTCCTTACTTCCTATGAGTGCAAGCCCTCATAGTTAATTACACATCTTATTGTGTAAGAGATAACTCTCGATTAAGGATGAACAATTTCACTTTTAAAATGACACAATGGAGAAAAATAATTCATGTAGCCAACCCCACCTAGTGGGACAAAGGTTTGATGTTGTTTTTGTTGTTGTCTCATTTGTTGATTGAGTCAGTCCAAGCGGAATTGAACACAAGCCGGGTCATCGACGTTTTGGATTGAGGTTCTTGTGTGTACGATGCAGGAAGAGGTGGAATTTGTCTACTTGTGAGGTTGGGACTGCTGGACGAGAAGGTTTGGGTGTGCGGGGAAGGCCAGTTTGAGTAGGCTGAAGGCGACATAATGGAAGGTGTTCGGGGTGGCTTCAGAACGATCGACAAAGACATGGAATAGACGAGAAAAAGCAGGATAAAAATCAATAGTGTAAGTTGGTTTTTTTTTTCGGTTTCTCTGTATTTTTATTGATCGGATAGTTGAATGACTGTCATTTTCGAAACGTTGAATCTGTCTGATTGAAATTTGTTTTCTGAAGTAATGTATCTGTTCAATTTGTTTTTTAGCCAACACAAATGAATCTTCATATTTGAGCACAAAAAATTGGAATCCCACCTTGATCTAAAATCCCAAAATTATATATCATTTCTCATTCTTATGAACCCAAAAGACTCATAAAAATTTAATCTTCCTTAGCCTAAAAGGCTTTGAAAATCCCATAACCTTTAGCCTCAAAGCTATAGGTTAAATCATGTTTTCTAGCCTAAAAGGGATAGGGAATTTCACACACCTTTAGCCTCCAAGCTATAGATTCATCATCATTATTATTACGTTGACCCAATCAAGAAAAAGATCTCCTAGCTCTAGGTCTATAAGCCTTAGCATCTCCTATTTGACTCAAATCAATATGAGCTCTCCTTTCTTTTAGCCTCAAAGTAGGTGATCTCTTTATCTGGTCCCAAACTCTAGATTTTCTATCACTTCACCAAAATAAGTGATTTTACATTTTCATTTAAATTTAAATTCAAAATTGTAAGTCGCTTTTAAGAGCCTTTCTCTTTTACTTTATCCAAATCTGATGAATTTCATGAAGCTCTAAGTGAAAATCTTAGGCAAGTTTGTTTTTATCTACCAAGTAATCGTCATTCTCTAGGTTCTTCATAAACCTTTAAAATTATGAAATACTTTTACAAATAGAATAACAGTTTTAAGTTACAAGCAACTTAAAGTGAAACCACTCATGAATTAAAAATTGAATTTCTTCCTATTATACAATAAAACAAAATATCCAATAATAGTGTAACAGTCACACAAGCCAACACACATAAAATGCATAAGCTCTTAGGCATCATAAAATTATAATTTTTTCATTTCTATGAATATGATTGTCATGATTGATGAGAAATAATTAATAAATTGTCTGTGTTGTGGGTGCTTTCCCTTAAGAGTTAGGATATAGATATTTGTTTTTACATGCAAGTGATCATGCCCAAAAAGGGGCAAATAATTAAATAATTATAATCTAATAAAATTTACTTGCAGGTGTTGCTTATAAGTTTAAAATCCCACGTAGGCGTAGCTAACAAAATAAAATCAGTTGTAGTTGTAGCTTTATAACTTACATACCTCCTATATAAGAATCATCTCGTAATTGAAGCCCTGGATGCATCATAAATACAAGCTTAAAGATTGACAGTCTATAAAAAATAAAAGACTGACAGTCTATAATTTCAATTAAATTATATAAGATAGACAATTTAGCTATTATTTTTTTTATTTCTTTATTATAACAAAAGGCTTGTACATTATTGTTATTTTTAATTTCTTGTTTACTTTGCGTTTGCATCATAAATATATTTTTCTAGATTTGTGCCTTTACTTGAGAGTGTCCTGGACATTTTATGCAGCAGGCTCTTAAAAAATTAAGTTTAATACGAATTAAAATATGAGCAATCTAAAATCAACCATAAGAAAATAATTTCAAACAAAATTGAATGGCTTATAAAATAATAAGCTAATTTTTTAAATATTAAATGAAATTATAAGTCTTCTTATGGATCATAGTCAGCAACTTAATGTTTGACTAATTTCTTATCCATAAGAGTGTGCTTAAAATCAGTATCAAGCCTATGTACTCAGTTGATGAACATCATATGAATAACCTAGTGAGTTGCATGTAAAAATAAAAACCCTCAAATTAATAAATAGATAACAAAAATCGCAGTGTCTCAACATGTGCATAACAATATGATCAGACATCTTAAGCAAAGGTAGATAAATTGTAAGTTCTTTTCTAAAATTAAAATAGCCTCACACATTTTACATATGCATTAAAACCACAGTTGCATTATTTTAAAAGTGTTTATGTGGTTTTAGCTAGTCATCCTTTCAAGGAAGGATTATAAGACAAGATATCATATTGATGTAACCTCATATGAGATTTCAAGTTCGTAGGTCTCATGCATTCAGTGGTTTTGACCTTTAGATCTAAGGTCTGAGACAAATGTTCTTTTAAGTTATATTGAAAGTCCTCACATTCCTAAGCATTTCTTCAATCCTGTGTTGTTGGAATAAAAACACAAACTTTTTAAATCAAATTGATCAACTTTAATATAAATTTAATTTTAATATATAAAGCCCAACATAAAATAATTGAGTTTCTCTAAGCTTCACAAAATCAAGTACTCTTACTTTTTCCTCCCTTAACTTACATCCCTATAAAAATTGGACTAATTTAAACTCAGATGAGATTTCAAGTTTGTAAGCCTCATGCATTCAGTGGTTTTGACCTTTAAATCTAGAGTTTGAGGCTGATGTTCTTTTCAGTTACATCGTAAGCCCTCATCTTCCTAAACATATTCTCAATTATGTGTTATTGGAATATAAACCCTAACTTTTTTAAATATGAAGCCCAATATAATATAATTTTAAATTTCTTTGAGCTTCTCAAATCAAGTACTCATACTTTTTCTTCCATTGACTTCCATAAAAATTAATTTGAAGTTGAACCAATCACCCTTGAAATTCCAAAGACCAAATATTTATCACGAATTTCCTAAAATCGTATATAATGTTAGCCAATATTTTGATTAAACAAATATAAGCCGCCTTTTAATCAAAAGTTTTATTAATGACAAATATAAATGGGATGTAATTAACCATAAAGGTTTGTGATGGAACTTGAGTTGCAAAAATTCGGAATCCAGGAAAAACAGCCCAAAAACAGTGGAAAAATGTAGGATTTCTTGGATGAAAACACTCACAAACACTTCGATTACTTAAATATCAAAAGACTTACAAGTTTCCACGGATACAATGCTCTCAATTCGAGAAGAGAAGCTTTCTCCCAAGCCCTAGAGAAGAAGAAAGCTAAAACAGCCACCAAAACAAGATCCCTCTCAAACCAACCCTAACTCCCCTTTAACCCTCACATGAAACCCCCCAAAATACCCTAATTACCCCTAGGGCAAACAAAACAAACTCCCACTTACATTTGGTGCCCCCCTTGGGCCCACCCGCCTCCTCCCTCTCCTTCGGCCGAACGCCCAGGCGGGCGATTTCTCCGCCTGTAAAAGGCGAGAACCGGCCCCTTGTGGGCAGGTGCGGATGGAGGATGGACCGGCCGGTCCGGTCCATCAGTTTGCCCCGACAAACAATCTATATCCCAGAATAAAATAAATCATACTCAATCAAACATATTTGGTGGGTAAACATCTATGGACAAATTTTTAAAAAATGTAAGTTTTGTTATGGAGTTATTAGCAAAATAATATCTTTATCCCTTCGCATATTATATTGTTTTCTAAATCATACTTTGATCATAAAATACTTTAAATCCATAGAGTATAGAAAAAATCCCACCAAAATTATCACACTTGTTAAACAAAAAAAAAAAAGAGCAAGGTTCAGGGTTGGGTTTGTTTGAGAAGCAAATGAACAACATCGACTCGTTAAAGCACAGGACTTGCAAGCAAGAAGTGCTTTTAGGTCTATAGTTAGAAACTTCATGGTTTTGGAGACTATAGCAGGGTTGTTGGAGAGATATCCAGGTAAGGGAGAGAGGGCAGAAAGTTTTGATGTCTTTTCCTTGCTCGTACGCCATCAGGTTCTGCTTCTTCACTCTCAGACCAATTAGATAAACTCTTAACCCTAATTTTATTTTGATAAATTTTTAGTGTTATTTTGAGATGAATTTGGCCAGAGCCAAGCAACTGAGTGAGAACTATTTGATATGATACTTGAATAAAAAATTCTTATCTAGTTTTATTCTCCACCTTTCATTAACAAAAAAATTATGAAATTTCATATATGAACATGTTCATGCATTTTGAAATAGAATATTGAGTTCCTGAAATTAACAATACAAGTAAAAGCATTGAAGAAATTTCTAGCAAGAACTTTAATATTTCTCATATTTGTACATTTAATGCAATTTATTTTGTGCAAAATGAAAATAGATTCCTTCTAAATTAGAAAAGTTTGTTGGGTGTGTACGTAATTATAATGAGTTCAATCAAGGATGTAGGTATTCTTACTGTAATGAAGATCCAATTCTCCTTACATGATATTCTAGATAAAAGTGTGTATTAGTGGATAGATTGTATAGAGTTAAAAGGCTTTTTATGCAACTCAATAGATAACTAGATTATTAATTTAAAGGGACATAAAAAACAGTATTTTTAGTAAATATTTAAGCGGGTTACTTTGACAACACATCTTTTAAGAATGCTATTGATAAGATGACTATAAATGATGAGATCCACGTAAGATTACTTTGGATTAATTATGAGAATAAATAAGGGGCAATGCATAGATTATGTCTAATTGATTGTTGTGATTATTGAATACTTTATTGAGAATTCATTGAATATATGTTTAATTTAGATTCTTTTAAATATAGGGATTGTGGAGCACCATGTGTTTGAGTGAGAAAAATCAACATCATGACCTAAATGTTGGACTACTTCTGATCTCTATCTAGTAGGTGAATCTTTACTGAGTAAGGTATAAATATATCATTTCTTATTAGGGTTGTATCCCTTGCTATTTATTTGCGTACGTTAATTCTTGATAATAAATTATAGAGCATGCTTTATTTAGTCATAATTATTCACGTAATCAGATTGATATGATGTGACAGCATTGCCATATTCCTTATTGCATAAATTCTTAGGAAGTTATGTTTATTATTTTAATTATTGAGAAATAAACATTGTCCATAGCATGAATTATTTTTATATGTAACCAACATATTTAGCAATTATTTGAATTTCATTTTATCATATTATAAGCTTATTAAGACTTGTTACAATGATATAAAATGTATATAATGTATGCTTGAGTACATATTGTATGTATTGTCGGTAGAACCTTTTACAAATTAGCTAGCTGAATTGACGGACTCTTAAAGTGACGACTCTTCTGAGAAATTATTAAATTTCCACGAAATTGGTGCATACCTTTCCTGGTTTTAGGGTAACAGAGTAAAATTGATTATAAACATATTTAAAATTATGAAAAATAAAAGATAAACAACTAATCACTGATTAATATACGTATTAATTTGGTGTGCTTGTAAGTGAATATTTTTGCATTTCAACACTGACCATTGGTTTGCTTAGATAAGTCTTCATGAACTATATTGCATAATAAACACAATTACATGATTCACATATTTGAATATCTTATCTTCTATATGCTATCTATAACTGTTATGATATAATATCCATTTTTATCTCTAACTCTTTTTTTTGCTTATATTTATGCCCCATGTCTTGCCATTTATATTTTACTACGAGGATTTCACCCACTCATCCGTTTTTATGTGATTTCCATCCAACCTAGAGGCAATGTATGACAAGGGTTGGCAACTAACATTGCTAGAGAAGATTTGCAAAATTGACTTATTCCAGCGGTCTTCATTTTCACCAACTATTGAAGACTCTTAATACCAATGCTATTAATTGACGACCACTCTCATATCAAGCTCAAGTATCTTAGAAGAACAAGGCCAATGGAATCATTTTATTGCAACTCAGGTAAGGGACACCATGGTTTCAGGAATAGATTCTCGGTTTCAAGCCTGGCCAGGTTATAAAAAAAAAACAGAAACATAGTGATGCACGAATAGGTTAAGTCAGCAGTGCATCCTTTAGCTCTTATTTTTTAGAATCATTCCTTGAAAAAATATTTTATAGTGATGCAGCGCATCATGAAGACTTCTATGATGATTTCATCATCTATTTATAATTTGAATATTTGTTGTGGTTATTATTATGTTGAACTTTTGTTGTAATTTGAATCCATGATATGATTGTAATATTTAGGATTTTGGTAGTTGTTAGCTAAGGTTTTATATTAACATATTCAGTGTATGAGTAATGGATTAGAACATCATGAAACTACATGTGCATGGACCATGCAAAGTGGTAGGCCAATCCATAGTGCTCCACTTACGAACACATGAAAAAGTGAAAGACATGGATAGGTCCAAGTGAAAAAGCATACGCATACTTCCATAATCATGCAAAAGGAAGTCCAAGGAGTGCTACTCTCATGCCAAAACATGCTGTCAACCAACAGCTCCACCACTCCATAATTCAAAGAGCCTTGCTCCACGTTTTAAGATGGCATTTGCTCCACCTTATGAGAACTGCCAGCCACTCCACTCTCAACAAATTTTGATTTTTGAATGATTTTGCAAGGTTATAAGTGACGGAAAACTGTCGTAAGAGGAATCTTTGTTGAATTACAACTATTATAGAAGTATTCTTCCTTGGAATCTTAATTGGTGGCTAGGTTCTTTGAGAATGGAAGCTTGGTGGCCTAGAACCAGCTTGTTCCTTTGAAGAAGTTAAAAGTTTATTATATCCTTAGTTGATTTACTGTAACCCCATCTCCCACACCTAAAACAATTCCCTCCATCAACCATCTTCATCATCCATCATCAAACTCAAGCAACAAGCTCTCATGTTGCTTCCTTCACAACTAACCTACAAGCTTTGGATGCCTTCGAATTGGCCCTTCCCACCACCCTCTTAGTTCCATCACACACCCTTTCTTTCTTCATACATCACTCCCCATTCCTAGAAGTCCTCTCCAAAGCCTTGGTTCAACATTGCAAAGCCAATCACCACTTTGGAATTCTTGGGCTTTACCCCTCCAAAGTCACTTCAAGAACAATTATTCTAATTTACTTTCTTGCACACCTCATACCGACCTCTCTAGTACATTCCCACCTCTCCACTACATCTCTAACATCCCTTTGCCAAACCCCCCACCAACCCAAGCCCCAAAAATAATCCTCTACAAGAGTCACCTCTCGGCCACCTCCCATTAAGCCACATCCTCTCCTAAGAGCTCACCACCTCATAAACAGCAAAACCCCACTATTCCCACCAAATTGAGGCTACCAACAAGAGGCTCCATCACATACGACCTGAGCAAGTTTCAAGAAGAGGAAGGAAAAACATGATAATCAAATTGAATTAACTGTTCTAAGTTATAAAAATTGAAGCATCAGAGCACGTTTGAGGGCCAGCATATCAAGTTATGAGCATAACTTTACAAGAAGTAACATAAAATGTATCATCAAGAGTACACCATCAGGGGAGCAATGTTAATATACCGTTTAAATAGCACAAGTAGAAGTTTTAAAATTAAAGAAAGAGTATAACCTTACTTCAAGAACTTCAAGAGGGGAATGCAAAACGGAAATCATAATGCAAACATGAAACATATAAAATTAACAAGATTTCAAAAAAGCATTGCAATTTACAAACTTTAGTAAATAGTACAAATAGTAGATGAAAAAAGGTTTGATTTGTACTATCTTAAGAAAAGACATTACCATAGTTTTTCGTATTTCCTTCTGCACTGTCTCTCTAAACAGATCAATATCCTAAGGAAGTCATCAAGAAAGCACAATTTTATCAGTAGCATCAACAATACAGCAAAAGGTTAAATTATAGCTGACAACGCTACCATAATAAGAAATTAACACAACAAGGCAAAAATTGCAAATTAATAATCACTTAAATTCTCTTCAACTCCATCGTTCAAAACTACAAATACTGCCTATTTCCAATTCCCCTTATCTCCGTCCCTTGCTATTGATAATTCTGCATGTCTTTTTGCTGGTAAGGGCATCCTCATGTGCATTCAATGCCTTTTCAGCAAGGGTTAAATGCAAAACAGGGGGCTGATAAAATTGCTCAGAAATCCTATTTACAGCGCATATTATGTCCAGCATAAAGTCTACCATATACTGTCTTCAAGTGATGTCTACTGTATCTCCCAAGATTGTCAGATAGTCATGTGTGAGCTATGTTGCACCCATACGGATACAGCGACACAGATACGACACGATACGGATACGGGACACGTCAATTCTTAAAAATACAGGATACGGATACGGCGCGGATACGGCATTATAATATATAAATCATACATAAAAATTAAGAAAATAATCAAAGCGTAATATCTGAAATGACAAAGAAAATTGAAAGCAACATCATTTATAGCATTGCATCTTATAATATCAAAATAAAAGTAAGCATTAAATATTTAAATGTATAGTATCGAGCAGTACCGAGTACCTAGCGGTACCGAACACCTAGCGGTACCAAGCAGTACTGAGTGGTACCGAGTACCGAGCGGTACCGAGTTTAGGTATCGAGCCTACGATTAAGAAGACGAAGAATGAAGAAAACGAACCTTCAATGCTCACTAGCCGCTCCGTCGATGAGGGATTCTATCTGCTTTAATGCTCGCGTCGTCGAGCCTCTTTGTCGACGAAGGATGATCATGTTCGCTTCTATGCTTGCGTCATCGAGCCGCTCCTTCGACTATAACGAAGAAGACGAACACCTGTGCGGAAACAAAAAACCTAGCTCGCCAAAATGTTTTAAGCAGCATAAATGAATAGGGATATCGAGGGGAAAATTGCGGCTATGTTTTTTTTTAATAAGACACGCATATCCGATACGCGTATCCGATTAAATTTAAATAATATTTTAATTGGACATGACAAAGCCGTATCCGACACGTATCCATGTCGTATCGGAGGCATATCCATATCTGACACGTGTCTGATACAGCATGCCTCGTAAATAGGAGTATCCGTGCAACATAGTGTGTGAGCATCACTTCAAAAGAAGATCTCTCTCTCTCTCTCTCACACACACACACACAAAACATGCTTGAGGGATTTTTTTTAAGCCCATAAATAGCCTTTTTGATAAACAAATACCAAGAAAAATGACAAATGCAAGAGAAAAAGATTAAATATATAAGCATTCATGGAATGATCAGTACACTTTAATTTACCATTTTGAAGGGCAATGGGAAAATGAAGATAAGATAACTCCTTAAGGTGGATGATTCTAGGACGAGGATGAGGCCATCATGTGGAAAACCGTTGAGGTGGATATATAGATATAAATGCTTCTATAAGAAGAGGTACAAGTGAAAAGGGTAGCTTAGAGAAAAAAAAGGGATAAAAATAAAAGAAAACGCATGAAAGCTGACATCTATTGAAGTATGTGTTTTTTAGTAGAGTTATAATGGTGAAAGCCTTTCTGAGAAATAAAATATCCTAAAAAGATGCACAGGATGGTCTGACCTTTAATATTCTAAGTGTTTAGGAAAAGGAAACTAACCTAATAGTTAATAAAGAAGGGGTGACATCACCAAAAATATTAAACAGGATAAAAGTAGAGAGGTAGATGCAATCAAAATTGCATCACCCTAGAATTGGAGCTAAACATTTATATGGCACATCAAAGTCTAGGCTATGTCGAGCAAATAATGATGCTTGTATTCAATAAATCCGCTTTTTTTAAGGGAAATATAGAAACATGACATCCAATTAGTGATCCCACTGTCATGAAAGAATGAGCTAAATAGAGATTGCATAGATTTATAAAGCGTTATTAATATAAAGAATTTTAATCCTTACATAAAATGGGACTTATTTTCTACAATAAGGTGATCAACATTGATAAGATTTCAAACTTGTAGTGTAGAAATCTGATAGGGCAGGAGAAGGGGAACAAAGAGGCTTGTCCAACCCAACCAGCTAGCTAAGGCTGAATCAGCCCTTGGGCTGGGCGGAACTCTCAACAGAACTAAGGGGGATTTCGCAAGATGTACAATTTCTTCTCGAGGTAAAGCCTATTGGCTAGAGAGCTTTTGATATATAGAGATCCCATTTTTTTTCAAATCTCTATAGCCGTTCCTTCATCTACAACCTCCCTTAGAACTTCATCTCCTAGGCATAAAAGGAATGCATTATGTGCCTTATTAAGCACATATATGCACAATCTTTCTTCTATCCTCAAGATACCTTTCTCCGATAGAGCTGCATCAAGACCTTGATGAACTAGAAGAGCCTTCATCTTCAACCTCCATAAGCAAAAATTATTGAGACATGTGAATTTCTCAATTTCAAGCTTAGCAATGGACATCTTCCTTCAAGAATGTTGCTGCCAGTCGATCAAATCAGCTGCTGTCCACAAAATAGCTAAAAGAAAAATTGCTCCACTGCCGGCCACCCTCTTCTCCTGCTGTCCAGAAAAACAGCCAAGAAAGCAGCTTCCACTTCTTCTCTTGTTTCTGTCCAAAATACAGCCAAGAAAGTTTCCATCACCGGCCAACTTCTTCTCTTGCTGCTGTCTTAGAAAAACAGCCAAGAAAGCTTCCACCGCCAGTCACCCTTTTTTCCTCCACCTCCAGTCTGTAAGGCAACCTTCTGTCCAAAGAAAAACAGCTCAAAAAAGCCTTTCTTAGTTTCTTCCACCTGTTATCAAGGGAAAAACAACCAAGAAAGTTTCCACTCCAGCAGTCCAGGGAAAAAACAGCCTAGGAAACTTCCCCTCCACCTGTTTACCCAAAAACAGCCAAGAAAATCCACTTCTTGAGTTCAAGAAAGACCTTTCTCCTTCCCCTTGATCTTTCTTAACTAAGCTCCAATACCACTTGATGAAAAAATTAAACCAGGAAGGAAGAGATCTTGAATTCCTGCACCTTCTCCAGCACCCACCGGCTCCACCTGACCCGCTAGTCACCTCTCTTTCAATCTCCTTCGCCTGGACCCGCTGGCCAGCAGCACCTAACTGTTTCCACCATTGCTACTTCTTGGTGTCTGGGCCGAGAGATAGACATCAGCTTCTTGTTGTCTCCAACAAAAGAGAGAGAAGGAAGAGAGGGGACAGGGAGAGAAGGGAGAGAGCTCACGGTTTTGGACTAAAAATCTGGATAGAATTCTTATTATGCATTCTCTTTTTTAAACAATATAAGGCACCCCTATTTGTACTAAAACAGCCCTTAGGAGCAAAAAGGTTAAAATCCTAAACAAAGACTTAAACTAAAAACAGAAATAACATTTCAAATAAGAACCAATATCTAACACAATCATTGCAGGCTATGTCAATACTTGGCCTTATTTTTTTTAAAAGAAACAAATAAGGAAACAATAATGTTTAATTTGATACCTATAACACATGCCAACACAATGAAACAACTTAGGCTTCAAATTTATTTAAAATGATACCAATCGGCACGTCTTTGTTAACCAAGTTTATTGGTAATATAAATATAGTCATTATGAATATTTGTACATGCATTTGTTATAGTGAAAGTTGTTCTTCCAGTATGCATTTATGTCATGACTATAACAAATTCATAACATAAAAGCATTTATTGCAGTCATTTTGAATAATTGAACATGCATTTATAATATAAATATAGTCATTACGAACAATCTATTTAGGTATGATCATAGAACATGCATTTAACATGAATATAAATTTCCAAAGAAGGGATAGATCAAAGAATTGATTACTACTTGAACACTTCAGGTGCTGAGGTGTGCAAACTGCTCCATAAGTATCAGAGAATAATATATATATTCTTTTTTTTTTTGGCATCACTTTAAATTGTGCATGGTTCTTCAAAGAAATCAATTAAATTCACCATACTTAGTGCACTGATGACAAAAACACTGGTTAAAATACATGATAACCAAAGCACTGTATAAGGTTAAACATTTTCAGAGGAGAAAAATGACCATTTTGATCCCACAGGTTTTTAAAAATGAAACAAAATAGTCCCATGATAGGACTATTTAAGTTTTTTTTTAAAGAGTTGAAGGATCAAAATGATCATTTAATATAGTTGGGGATTATTTTTGTCATTCATAAAGAGTCAAAGAACCATTTTGATCCTTTTCTCATTTCAAGAGAATGCATTAGCTTTTGGTATAGAATGGAGAGGATATAAAGCCATGTTTATCATTTTGATGATTGGGAGCTAGATTGTAATGAGACTTTTAAGTGAAGATCCAACTTTTGAAGTACCTCAGAATGCCAACCAACGACAACAAAAACATCTAACGAATAGCCATCATTTGTTGAAAAAACATGTGCTTCTTGAATGTTAAGCCCAAGTTCCCCAAGTACAGCAGTTAACTGAAATAACAAATAGAAACTAAAATTAATTAATAGTCGCTTTTATCCAAACCAGACTATATATTTCATGAAGAAATAAAATGTACAGGATCCATAAAAACTAAATCAGTTTCTGACTACAAATAAGAAGGAAATTCATACTACTCATCTCAAAAATATTCAAGACAAAAGGTCCACATAGCACACGAATGTTGTTTGTAGAATCCAAAAAATAGAAGAAGAATCCGTGCATGTACAAAGCTAAATTAGAATAACAAATCCATGTGATGGAAAACACATCTAATTCAGGTACCCCCAACGAATGAGCTGCTTCAAAAACCTCATAGAAATGCTTTTAGCCCATGGAAGCATCTATCTAATATTTGAGGAACCCATGCAACATTATGTATGTGCCTTATAGGCTAGCGAGGATGCATCCCGTTAGCCACTGACCTGCATGGGAAAACTAAAATGCAGCCCAGAGATAAAGGGACAAATTTCACATGCAGGCACAATTATTGCTTGCAAGATGAATGCTTTGCATCCATCCAAACCAAGATGAATGCTTTGCATCAATCAAGGAAAGCATCAAGAGTTAGGACGAGCAACCTATGATGACTAGTTGGTCAAGAATCAGATCAAGTGAACTATCATCCAAATTTGTTCTAAAAAGTAGATCAGACTAATTTCAGATTTAGTACTCGTACACCGGTTTTGATTTTCATTTCTTCACAAGATGTTTGTCGCTAGTGGAGAGAGCAGTATCAAACATTAAATGTTGGTAATAATAGTACTGATAATGATAGGAAATAAAATGGTGGAGAGAGAGAGGAACGAAAGAGAAAAAGATTATGAAGAATGCGTGAGGACAGTACATCGTAGGATTAAGTTTGGTTTTAATTAGGTGGAAATAAAAACTATGTTCCTTTTAATTGGAAAACATGGATGACAAAAATGTACTATATAATAAATATTATACGATATTATACAGCAACTTCAAAGTTTATTGGATCTTTGGATAATTCTCAGGTAAGATCAACCATGACCTGAATCACGTCACCAATACAGAATAGATAAACGTTCTATTTTTGAATATTAGGTGCTTAGTTAAATCATAATCAACATTAACATCATTAGTTTTATGATTTCATCAAAACTATTTGGGTTCTGCTTAAAGAATCCTTGCTCCCCACTAACTATAGTTTAGAATTGCATTTGCTGTCAACTACAGTTTATGAACTTCGTGCTTTCCTCAACACAATAGCCAAGTGGCATTTAATTTATTCAATTTCCTACCTATGCCCTTCAAACTAATTTTACTCCCAACCTTATTGGTGCATATTCTGCATGTCTTACCAGCCTAAATCATTAAAGGCTATTTTGCATGACCCTATCTTGCATAGAAGCTATTCCTATAATCTCTATAATATAATCATTTAGTACTCCATAAAATAAATTTTTTATGTTTAACAAAGACTTATCAAAATAAGAAAATGGGCAAGATTCATTTACAATCTAAACCAATGGAATAAAAGTATCACAAACTCATCCAAAATAAACTTTATAGCAGTTCTAATCCATAACCTTTCATAAAAGTCTCCCATTTTTCACGAATTTAATAGTGTCACCAGTGATAACAAAGATTACATAAAAACCCGCATAAAAGATCAAAATTAGCAATCCATCAAATTCAGTTTAAAAAAAAGTCCTCTCTTTTGACGAAAACCAAATAACACATAATTAGCTCTGAACGATATTTTAAAAATAGTCCAGATACAGAAACTTTTCTAGAATCTGAAATCAAATAAAGTCATATAATCAAAATTTATGCTGTAAAAAGAAAAATCAAATTTTGATAGATTTATTCAAATCCAGTAACACATACAAAATCAATTAAAAATTGTGTAAATGAAAAGAGCAAAGATAGCAGTCACCAAGTAAAAGATCCAAGCCTGATGTTGGTATAAGAAAAAAGCTTCCCCTATTAGTTGTCATCAACATCTGCATCACACTCGAATAATTAGCATCCAACTAGCGCACACATGCTAAGAGGAAACAAGGACTTTTATCAAGCAATTTGATGTTTTTTATAAATACCTCAAGATTCTATTTATACTATAAAAAACCATAATTTTTAGTTTATTGAAATTCCATTAAACAACCGAAAAACAAGAAGTCCCCATATAGAGAATTTCAATTCCAATTACATTAAAAGTAGAAAATGTCGATATCAACCACAATAAAAACAATAATACGCAAAATAGCATTCATTAATATCAGCTCCAACAAATCGCACGCCTACAATCACTTATTCCCTGCTACTGTAAAACCGAAATCGACGATAGTAGGCGTTGCATGCATCTCGATGCATCGCGACGAAATTTAAGTGAAATTTCAAAGTCGACGGATTTCGACGAAATAAATTTTATAAAATTCTACATAAAATTTCGAGTAAATCGGTATAAATAATCTATATTGAATTTTGATTAATTTGGAAGTTAAAATTCATGGATGTTTCAGTATGACTATAATAACCTTAAAGACATTAAATTGGAGATAATTCAAGTGGGGGCAATTAGGACATTTAGCCCTCTCCAAACAAAGCCTTAAGGGACCGAATCGGTCCCTTCAATTCTTCCGTACATTTTGTTCATGCACTCTTAAATGTTCATGCACTCTTAACTCCCAAGAAAGACGGTTCTTGGATAATGTGCGTTGATCGTCGTGCTATCAACAAGATTATAGTGAAATATCGCTTCCCAATTCCGCAATTAGATGATATGTTAGACATGATGATGGGAGCAACCCTTTTCTCTAAGATTGATCTCAAAAGTGGTTATCTTCAAATTAGGATCCGTCCTAGTGACGAATGGAAGATGGCATTAAAAACTAAAGATGGCCTTTATGGGTGGATGGTTATGCCATTCGGTCTCAGTAACGTGTTAGACCGGTCCATTGGATCGGTCCAGCCGATCCATGCGGGACCGGCCCGAGCACGAACGAGGCGAACGTTCCTCGACCGCACCGCACCGCAAGCGCTTGAGGATCATTTTAGGAAGGATTTTTTAGGATTTTGGGAGGGAAATATGAATGTAGGGACTGTTTAGGGATTTCCTTTTGATTTGTATGCATTAAATACTTTGTTTTCCTAGGGTTAGGGCATCTTGAATTTGGCTGAAATCATGGTTTAAAATTGCGCAATATGAGGCTCGCCTTGAGGCCCGCCTTTGCGCAATTCCAGTAAAAAACGCCTCGATGCTTACGCCTCGAATTTTTTTATGAGGCTTGCGCCTCAACTTGGTTGAGGCCCGCCTTGAGGCCTGCCTCGCCTCACTGGCATGAGGCTTACGCCTCACGCTATATATATTAAAACTTACATAAATCTTGAAGTAAATGCCCGACATTAGACTCTATAGGAGAGGAGGAAGGGGAGAGAGCAGTTCATTATAATGATGATTCAAATGAAGAACCCCTTAGTGATGACAGTGTTGATGACTTATGAGTTCTTATGTGATATATCATTGCTATTTATTTTTGGAAATTTGAATTATATGTTAATGAAAAGAATACTGGGATTTGGGAAAGATAGAATTTTGAGTTGAACTATATTTCATGTTATCTTATTATTGGGATATTTTGATTTAACTTCATATCTTATGCTTTTTTATATTTTATATTATTCACTCATTAGTATATAAAAAATTTATCATTTTATGTTTACGCAATCTTTTGATTTTGAGGCTTACGCCTCAAAACGCCTTGTTACCAACTGGAAGTAAAATTGGTGGACACCGGTTGTTATGGGGTGATGATGGATACAAGGAAGGTGGAGAAAGGCTAGGGATCTGTAGAGGAGTGGTGTTGACCATCCAGGGGATTCAAGTAAGGGAGGACTTTCTCCCACTAGAGTTAGGAAGTACTGATGTCATCCTGGGGATGAAGTGGTTGCAAACCTTGAGGGAAACCAAGGACAATTGGGGAGCACTCACGATGGAATTAATAATGGATTGGAGAAAGGTGGTTATAAGGAGAGATGCAAGGCTATCCAAAGCCATGACATCACTTAAGACCATGGTTAGGGGCATACAAGAGGTGGGGAAGATTATATGGTAGGACTACACAGGTTGGATGCGATCAGATTGGAGGAGGAAATGGATGTTTCTCTTTCAGTGCAGCCCTTAATCAGTAATTCGGTAAAGTTTTTCAGCCACCTCCATAGGAACACGAGCATATTTCCACCTTGAGGACAAGTTGGATCTTTGGAAGGGGAGTATTGTTAGACCGGTCCAGCCAGTCCACATGGGACCGGCCCAAGCAGGAACGAGGTGGACTGCCTCCGCCTCTTTTCCACAACCGGCCACACCGCAAGCACCTGAGGATCATTTTAGCAAGAATTTTGTAGGGTTTTGGGAGGGAAATCTGAATTTAGGGACTGTTTAGGGATTTCCTTTTGATTTGTATGCATTAAATACTTTGTTTTCCTGAGGTTAGAGCATCTTGAATTTGGCTGAAATTTGAGATCTCTTTGATTTCTTTTGGGCTCTAGTGGCGTCTAGAGATTGGGAGAGAACGATCCTCCTCTCGAATAGAGGATCAATTGTATCTTGCTATTTTTTCGTTTTACTTTCATCAAATAATACAAATTATCTACTGCTTTCGTGGTTTTGGCGGACTTTTGTGAAGATTTATCATTATTTTTCGAAGATTGATAGGAAATACTTGAGATCTACAAGTGTTTCCTATCATAACGCTCCTAACACGTTTATGATAGTGATGATCCAAGTCCTTCGCCCGTTCCTAGGAAAGTTCGTTGTGGTTTACTTTGATTATATCTTAATCTATAGTCACTCGGTGGATCAACATTTAAATCATTTAAAACAAGTCTGTGAGGTTTTGAGGAAAGAACAGTTATATGTCAACCCTAAGAAATGTATGTTCCTCACAGATAGTGTCACTTTTCTTGAATTTATTATTTCATCTCAAGGAATATCAGCTGATCCTGATAAGGTGCGAGCAATCAA